CTGTCTCTGTACGGTGCTATAACAACCGTCCGATGGAGAAAAAAAAATCGGACGATCCAGATCGTACGATAAAAACGAGATAAATAAAAATAAAAATATTTGATCCCACTTTCGCTGCGTAATTTTCTCAAAAGTTTGATATTTTCGCTTCTTCTTCTCTCTTTCACAACCGATCAAAACTTTCTTCTTCTTCCCCAAAAATGTCTGATTCTTCCTCCATCCATGACTCTCCACCGTCTCCGGCAATCAACGTCGGCGATTCAGAAACCACCGTCGCCAACGATTCGGATTCCAACGCGAAATGTCAAACAGCGATACAATCACTATCCTCAATCGTCACAACAACAGATATCCCTTCCTCAATCTCTCTCCTCCTCGACGACGACTCCGTCTCCGCCGCGATATCAACTCTCCTCCTCCGTCCAGATTCAGGCTCCGGCGATAACAACCTCTGCCGTTGGCTTTACGACACATTCCAATCCTCTGAACAATCTCTCCAGCTTCTCGTCCTCCGTTTCGTCCCCATGATCGCTGGTCTCTACCTCTCTCGTGTACCTCTCCGGCAACCACAAGCCGGATTCGAAGCCGTGTTACTCGCTCTCTACGCTCACGAAACAACCTCACGCGCCGGTCAAGCACTAACCGTCAACATTCCTGATCTCTCACACCCAAGCATTTACCACGAATCCAAAGGTCCAACGAAGAACAACTCGACGTGTCTCAACATCGCCGTGATCTCCTCCACGTTAGATCCACACGGGACGGTTAGATCCACGCGACGAGCGAGGATCGTCGGAGTCGCGTTGGAGCTTTACTGTAGCAAAATCTCGAGAATGCCACGCGAATCGAAGCTCAATTTCTGCGAATCTTGCGAGAAATGGGCAGGGCAAAACGGAGAAACAGAGCAATCACGAGCTGTGATTCCTACGTTGAGCGATGATTCGTGGAGAGAAGAAGAGAATGTTGCCATGGGAGGAAGATCTGAGAGAGATAGCGGAAGGATTCCGTTGCCGTGGGAGCTTTTGCATCCGATACTAAGGATCTTAGGGCATTGTTTATTGGGAAAAAAAGATACAGAAGTATCGGAGGCGGCGAATAAAGCTTGTCAGAGTTTGTATCTCCGATCACTTCATGATATAAATCCGAAGGCGATTTTGGCTACCGGAAGTCTTCTCCGGCTCCGGGAGATGGCTCTTGATCCTAAAAACCAGGTCGATCACACTGACATATCAAACGACGCCGTTCTCTCTGTTTGACTCTGTTTTTTGCTTTCTTTCTTTTTAAACAAGTCAACTCTTTCTTTTCTATTTTAAGATATTGATCTGTCAAAAATCCTTACTTTTGTAATGTAAGGAGAAGCCACGTTCTTGTTGGCTAATACATTCTTTTAAATTTAATGACTTGCTGAACAGAAAACCTTGAAAAGAAACGATGAAAAAAAGAGTAATTTATTGGGTTTGTTATTACTTGATAGAACCACAACACTCTCAAGGAAAAAGATCCTGCAAGTCGAGGATGTCTGCAAGAACACCGGCTGCAGTCGTGTCGTTGCCGGCTCCGGCGCCTTGAATCACCAAAGGCTGCTCCTTGTAGCAACGGCTATATATCTCTACCTGCAGTTTTCCAATCAATAATCATTTGTTTTCCTCACAAGACAGAGGGAACATTGTGTGCGCTTGGAAAACTGTAATGAGTTAGTAATAGACTCATGTGTGCGCGGAAAGGGACTCGTACGCCATTTAATCAGATTGTTTGTGTTCAGAAATATTTAATAAATAGAATCTGATAACAAACTTACTATATTGTCACTGCCTCTTAGTCGTCCCAATGGCGAATCTTTTGAAACTTCTCGAATGCCAACTTGAACGCTGCAGAGAGAGCGTGAAATTCTGAATCAGAAAAAATCCGACATTGTACACTAGCATATTACGACTGATCAAATGCACATCTTTACCAATATAATGAGGAAACCATTGTTCTCTCTAGCTACAATCAATGTAGCCGTGAAACACATTTCTTGAAGGTATTGAATGTTGACTGTACCCCAAAATAAATGAGTTCGGGTTGTGAAATAGTGAGAGAGGTAAGCGTTATTACCTTGAGCACTCGATCACACAAACATAACGAAGCACACACCCGTTTGACGAAGCTCTTTTAACTCTCTCCTCGATGTTCTGATCAAGTTTTACTATTTCATTACTGAGGAAATCATCCACAGACATGACTCCAGGTCCCATTTCGTCGGGGTACAAGCTCTCTATCTACAGAGAAACAATAAAAACTACAAAGGTTATATGTTCAGGAGAAAAAGGATCAAAGGAGTCTTGTTAGGAGTCATTCTTCACCAAACATAAATCCCAGCATCGAATTCAATAGATAGAAAATGAAAAGCTTTTAATGTGATTCTCACCTTTATGCTATCCATAACTACCCTCTTCCCAAGAAGTCGAGCAAGAATCAAAGCCTGTCATGAAAAAAAACAGACAAAGTTAAGAAACATAGTTTGTATTAAATATTTTCTCATCAACAAAATAATTTGCTTGAAATGAAAAAAATATATGGGAATTTCAATGCGTATTTTTTTAATCGCAGTGAGTAAGTGACAACAGGACATTGGAGGATTTGCCTACTAATATCATCAGGAAATCAGGTTCAAAGAAATAGATTGTTCACATGACCACCAAACGAATCATGACTGCTTTTTTTTTGTACATTACTAAGAGTAGATGAAGAAAGCAATCTGCCATGTGTACTGATGATAACATCACCTACATTAACGAAGGTATGAATGCACTAACTCTCACAAGAGATACTATATCTATCTGTCCATACCTTTCTAGCAACATCCATACCACTGAGGTCGTCGCGTGGATCTGCGAAAAAAAAAGCAAAAGAACATGTCAATCAAACTTCATATTTAGAATATTCAGACATAATCTTTCTTTTCATCTATTACGGGTAGGTTTACCCAAGGCCAATCCAATTCTAATGCACTATACGGTCACAGGCTCACAGCAAGTTGGAGAATATTGTCAATCTACAAAAATGATTATAGAATATCGAAAGGCAGATAAACCGATATCTACTTAAATATAATGCTGCTAAAAGAAAGCAGATGGCTATCAATCAGACAAAACAAGATATTTGCCATGATGACTAAACGAAACTGGACAGAACCTGGTTCAGTGTACCCCAACGTTTTGGCAGCTCGAACAACTTGGCTTAGAGGCTTGCCATCTTCAAGCTCACTCATTACATATCCCAAGGTACCTATCATAAATCGAGCACGGATACAAAGCTACATAAATAACTAATACATTATACCATAAATTGGGATAAGAACAATGAGAAACATCTATAACACTATCACAGTAAAATGAATTGCATGTGAAGTCTGATTACCGCTCAAACTACCGACAATCTTATGAACAGGGTCTCCAGATGAAATTATGCGGTTCATGGATGCGATGACAGGAAGCCCAGCACCAACCTATAAAAAACATAGGTTGAGAGCAAGAACTTTAAGAAAAAAAAAAAAAATCACAACCTACCATACACAGACCTTATATCACCACACTCATACAGAAGTAAATTTGTTGAAGAGCACATTTCTACAACTAGTTTCATTTTAAAACAACTACAAAATAAGAATCAATTGTGTCACTCTATATGCCGGCTGAGTTTCACCTACAGTGGATTCATGGCGGACGCGTCGCAGATGCAAAACCAATTTATCATAATGTTCCTGCGTAGAAGACAAGATGAGAACAAATATGAGTCATTTGAACTACATTATAGACTTTCAGAGACGTAACTATTAGGGTGTACAATTAAGAGAACTCAACTGACCCAAGAGATGTTTTTTTTGAAAGAAAAAGGAAACAGTTTAAATCTTCTGCAGGAAACAACATAAAGTACTGATTTGCAACAAATCTCAGGACTATATGCTATGTCCAAATGAGCTTATTTGTGCTAATGATACACCACAAGAAAACCAAAAGGGAAGCAACTATGTGAAAAGTTTGACGGCTATGCCTCCACATTCATAACACAAGCAGTACGTGCAAAAATGCTTACTAGTAACACGAAGTTACCATTGTTGAAGTAAGAGGCTTCTTATTTGCCAGGACAACACAGCAACCCAAGTCAACTGCCTTGATCAATATTTMAATTGTATCCATGGTCGCTGAGCAATCCACAACAGCTAAGCCTATAACAAATACATGAGATTAATCCATCAGAAGCTATTTATCCCCAATACTAGACTTTGAACGTTGCAACAATCTTATGCTTGGTACAAACCTGTAGATTTGCCCAGACGTTCTGCAATTTCTTCGGTTACCTTTCTTGACTCGGAATCATCGAACACTTGGTATCCACCTTTTTCTTGGATGAAAAACAGAATAGTATACGTCTCATAATCCATAGAAAGACAGACCCATGAGGAAAAACCAATGATAGTTCAAACAGTTACCTAAAGCACCCAACTTGGATAATGGAGAACCATTTGATTTGATACGGCAAATTTCTGACAGGAGTTCATCATTCAGTTCCTCTTTGAACACATCCATTGGAACAAGTAAGGATTTACTGTCACATACTCCAATCACCCGTAAATGAACTCCCTTTTATG